TAAAAACAAAAAAAAAAAAAAAAGGGAGAAAGGTGAGGTTGGCGCCATATTCACCGGCGAGTTGACTTGAACCCGCATCAATTACCTTCTTCTTCATCAGGCTGCACAGATTCCTCAAATTCAGAATCCATAATCACCCCATCCATAACATGCACTAATATATTACTTAATTTCAAATCTATATAGTCTGATTTAACACCATTAACCACTAGCTTCCCACTAAAATCCTTCAGTAAATACAAATTAAATCCCGATATTGAATCATAAATAATCTCCTTGCCACGCTGCAAATCGGTAGAATAAATCGTTCTCGGTACAGCTGAAAATCCGAGTATTCGACTCAGTATCGCTAGCGTATCGTTTGCTTTCCCTCCAACCAAACTCTCCGTTGGACTCAATCTCAAATCGCGTTCAAATGCTATTTCTGAAGGCAAAAATAGAGTGAATGCAAGATCTTCGGGTAACATTTTAATCACTAGTTCTCCGAACTTTCCTATTTTCTCCTGAGAGAATTTTTTGTTTGAATTTTGTTTTGGAGAAGCAACTGCAACTTTTGACATTGAGATTTGTCCAAGTTGAAGTACTGAGATTATCTGAATAATTATGAAAGAAATTGAGATGATTACACAGACAAATCTAACTTGATTATTCAACCTCTTGTATCCCCCTTTTCTTCTCATTTTCTTTTGACCAATCTTCAACTCTTCTTGCAAATCTAACTACAGCTTCACCCAGGGATTCATCGTCACGAAATGGGGAGGTAGAAATTTGATTTGTCAGGATTTCGCTTCGGGTTTCGAGGTGAAATCAGCCTAATTTTTGAGGAGGAGTTAAGTGAAAATGGCAATTGACCCAACATTATTTCCACAGCCTCTGACTGAATTAATTATTATTAGAAAAAATAAACGAAAACATAATTTAAAGACGCATTTTCAAAAATATCCATCCATATTCCTCTTTTTCTCTACGATTTGGACAAGAAATCAGTTTCATTGACAGTCAATCGTTCAGACATCTTCCTCACTAAAGGACTTTCGGTTGCCGACTGTTAACAGTTGTAAATGTTAGCTTTTGTGAAGTTATAATTAGATTATTGGGTTTTGTTAAGTTTGAATTAGATTATTGGTTGAAATATTATTTTTAGGCATGATGTAGGCTAGATTTGCGCATAGATAAGTGTATTGGCCTATTTTGATTGTGTGGGGAGCTCCAACTCGTCAGAAATGATGGATTCTGAGTAGAGGAGCAAAAGTTGTTGACAGCCGGCCGCTAACAGTCGGCCAACTGTCAACAGCCAACTGTTAACAGCTGATTAGAATCGACTGTTTAACGGCCATTTTTTTAATAAATTTAAATCATTAAATGTTAGAAATTTTTAATTAAATATTTTTTATCTTGATCAAAGTTTAAGAAATTTGTTATTCTAAAATTATTGTTTTAATTCTAATTTTAACTTTTTATTTGAATTTGAATTTGAATTTTTATTTTAAATTTTAATTTTAATTTTAATTTAAAGAAATTTGTTATTTTAGAATTTATTTTCAAATTAATTTTTTAATCCTTATTTTAACTTTTTATTTTTAATTTTTATTTTATTTTATATTTAAATATTCATTTTAGTTATAATTTTAATGTAAAGAAATTTGTTATTTTAAAAGTAATTTTAAAATTACTTTTTTAATTCCAATTTTAACTTTTTATTTTAAATTTAATTGTAATTGTAATTTTATTTTAAATTTAAATTTTCATTTTACTTACAATTTTAATTTGAAGAAATTTGTTTTAAAATTAATTTTAAAATTACTTTTTAATTTTAATTGTAGTTGTAATTTTATTTTAAATTTAAATTTTCATTATAATTATAATTTTAATGTAAAAAAATTTGTTTTTTAAAATTAATTTCAAATTAAATTTTTAATTTTAATTTTTAATTTTAAAAATTAATTTTTTAATTCTAATTTTAACTTTTTATTTTAAATTTAATTGTAATTGTAATTGTAATTTTAATTTCCATTTTATTTTTTATTTTATTTTTATGGTAATTATTAATTTTCGATAATACCGTTAAAAATTCATATTATTAATTTTTGTTAAGAGAGAGAAAATGTCATGAATCTGTGTCTTGCGTATAGTAGTTACGATTCGGTTCGCTTAATTTTGGGTTATTATACTTCATTCCGTTATTTCATGTACAATGTTCTAATATTCTGTTTCAATTTTTGCAGGATGGATTATTATCTTGATGCAGAGTTGAGACAAATGCCAGGCAAAGTTACTTAGAACAGTAACTTTGACAGCTTTTCCCAGGTCCTAAAACTGCTGGACGACCAGCACGCAGATATGTTGCGTCAGTCCTTTTTGTGGCCTCTATACCTATGAGAGAGTTGCAGTATTCAGATCAAATGATCGATGCTCTTCTATGTCCATTGCTGAGTCCGGTTGATGGCGATACCCTCCACTTTGACCTCGAGGGCGAATTCGCTAGCTTTTCCATGTTCGAGTTTGCCCTGCTGACTAGATTGAAGATTACAAGCGATGAGGCAGCCAGCGACTAGATTCAGAGAAGAAATAGACTGCAGGACACTTACTTCCAAGGACAGGGGGCGGTGGTTTTGCCTCAGCTGATGGACGCGATTAGAAGGTGTGACGAGATGTTGGACAGACTGAAGTTAGGTATGGTCTAATCATTGAGAGCATGATGCGGTGTCACCACAAGAAGATTGCGATCGACGTCTTCCACCTAGAGATCGTCAACAATATAGATTGCTTCAACAGCTATCCATGAGGCCACCGATGTTTTTAGAACACCATCCACATCTTCATCAGACCGCACTCGAAGCCCAAGGGGCCCGTGCGTAAGTACAACACGTACGGATTCCCCTTGGCACTATAGGTAAATGATTAATGCAATCAATGTTAAAATATTTTTTTCTATTGAATTTGTATATACTAATTTATGTGTTGCAAGTCTAGGCGTATGAGACCATCCCCTTATTGGATACCCATTTTACAAGGTGAGAGGAGACACGCTACCCTCGGATACACCATTGGCGAGCATCTCGAGCGGAGGTATGTACCACTGGAAAACAATTATCGGATCTCCTCACGACCCTCATGTGAGTATTATAAATTTGTGATTTATATTATACATAGTTTAAAATCTCATTACATGATTTTATCCTTTTAAAATGTCAATATGTCAGTTTGAAGTAATAACTCATTTGACGCCGTCAATAGAGGAGGGGGTGTAGGGTTTTGTGGGTGAAATAACGATTCCGCACGCCCAAGACGACCAGATGTCTAATTCGATCCCCGATCAAGACTGGATAAGTGAATTATTGATTAATATTTTGTATGAATGAGCAATTATTGGATAAGTTAATAGTATGTAAATATGTGCAGGATCGCGAGCCAGTTGATCGGGCATCACCTCCGTCCAGGGCATCACCTCCATCGTCGGCGTCACTTCATCCCCCTCAAGGTGATTATTCTGATGATATGTACCATCCCCTAACAGAATTTATGGTGCAGGAGGTTGGTGCGCTACGTTGAGAGCTGGTAGGAGTTATATTAGGGAAGGTCGGCACGTTGCGTCGAGTGCTGATAGGAGTTATATCAGAGGAGGTCGACGCGCTGCATCAAGATATGGTGGAGCGGGTCGACGATCTGGGATGCCAGTTGGTAGAGAGGGTCGAGGATATAGCTGATGATGTTAGAGTGCTACGTGAGCATTTATGGGACCTTCAGGATGAGGTGATAGCACTTCGAGATGATATAGCAGGCAGACGATGGGTGACGGAGATGACAACCGGGGGGTGATCGAGAGGATAGAGATGGAAGTCACCCACAGTCGTGGTTGAAGGATGCATGAGACTCCTTTCTTTAGTCCATGGAGGATAGGGTAGACCCAAGGGTGGAGGGGATGGCCCTGTCGGGGACGGGAGCGATGATCGAGGAAGTAGTGTTGACGCAGGTGGATGAGGTGGTAGGCCCCTTGGGGATGGGAGCTATGGTCGAGGAGGTGGTGACGACTAGGACAGAAGAGAAGGTGAGCATGGAGAAGGTGGCGATCGTCAGGGAAGATGACCGCCGTGACTGGGGTGAAAAAGCATGCTGTTGATGTGCCGGAGTTGGTGGGCGGAATGATGCGGAGAGTGCCGTCACAATACATTGTTTCTCCCTTCACAATTGAGACGAAGAGGAGGAGGTTTGTCGATGGGACGATCCCAAACCTATTTCGGGAGGTGGACCGTGCCAAATAAAAAATGTTCGAGACGGAGTGGAGAAGAATGTTTCTCGGGTTAGTATTCATGATATTAGTAATATTAGTACATACCAGTGATCGTTACTCGTATAAGCTTTTTTAACATTTCTCTATTCCTTTTGTCAGGACCAATCGTACGATCAATACTGTGACGATCTCCGATACTTATAAGTGGTTCCACGACATCATCACTTCAGGAGCGTGGCTTGCCAACGATGTAAATGAAGTAGTCATATTGTCATTTTTTATGACTTGTATATCATTGTTTGTTTATGCAACGAAATAACTCCCTTTTGTATTGCTATTTCTTAATACAGTACATCGACCTGGCCATGGACTTGTTGCGTGATTGGGTTCAAAGATATTCGGGATCATTTAACAGTCCTAGCCAAGTCATACTAAATTTGGAGTTCGGACGAAGCGTTAATATTGAGTACCAGTGGCTTCAACATGCCAGCAAGGAGTACGCGGTGCCCGACTACATGATCGAGTGGATCATAGGGATGTGGGCACGTGTCAAGGGGGAGCCATGAGAGGGTTGTATACATATGTACATACCAGTGATCGTGAATCGTCATTGCATAGCCTTGGAGATTGTGTTCGCTGAGTCTACTATATATGCATTGAAAGACTCCGCATTGTTTGACGTCATCATGTTGCATTGACGTCCAAAAAAAAAGAGCGCGCCCAATGTTCAATCCCTATTTTCGTTAGATAATCTCATGTATCGAATGATTTACTTCCTATTTCAACCATGACCTTATTACACTCTTCAACATTGAAGGTTTCAGCTGCTCTCCTAAACAATGAAACGATACCTGGTCTTCATATTGCCTTGAATATGCTACATGCAATACCTATGATGTGCATCTGGAAAATTTTCAGCGATACCATTTATTAAAGGCTGTCCCTGATCGGTTACAAATGCAAGGTCCTCGACTTCCCCGATTACTTTCCTTAACTTTGTAAAGAACCATCGCATCCACATGTCATTCTCACTATCGACTATGTCGAACGCAAGATGGTAAATTTGGATGTTAGCATCTTGACATGTAGTAATAATCAGCTTGCTTTGATATTTAGACTTCAGTGTTATACCATCAACTAGAATTAGAGGTCGCGTTGCATTTCGAAATTCTCGAATGCGTTGTCCAAAAGCCATGAAGAAGAATTTGAAGCAATTCTCACCCTCCGTCTCAATAAAAAATTTCGAGCCAGGATTATTTTTCTTCATGTTATGGCAATACCTGACCAATTTAGCATAGATTTCCTCTGCAGAGCCCATTAAATCCTCAA